GAGAATTTTCAGAGAAAGTCTGTACAGATTGACGTCCTTATACAGTTGACTAAATTAAACAAGGAACGTCAGATTCAAAGAGAAAACAAGGATGATGGGTTACAATGGCAATCAACGTTCAATGGCCATGGGTTCCTGAAAGCTGAACGCTGAGCGCGCCGTCACCCGTGCGCAGGCAATCTCCATATATCATGGAGTTTGGATGTAATTTTAGAGGAACCTCACTGATAAAGGGTCCGATTGTGACTGTACACTGGCCCTATTCCCTTGAAAATCCGTAAATGAATCAATCCGCTGTTCATTGGGTATTGACTTGGCACTGAGCCGTGAACGGCAAGAAAAAAAGGGGCTGATTGATTCGGGAGAAGAGGTTTGAAAAGAGTCTCAATCAGATCCGAATCCAGACAGAGAGTGTCAAACGTGCGTAACTACACCGTTAGACACAGTACTACTCGTACGACACTCTCCGAATTCTTTATTGGGTGAGCGGAGCGAAACCCATTATCTAGCAGTGACCCTAAATGCAATGCACAGCCACCTGCGCTGGCATTTGAGGCTGTGCAAATTTCAAACTCCGATCACCCCTTAGGCATTGGTGCCGTAGGTCACCAATGCGAAGCATGTTTCAGTCTTGAAGTGGCGTATATCACGAGCGATATAAGCTCAGAGCGCTCCGAGCTTGGACATGTTTGATTCGGAGAGGAGGCGAAATTAATTGTGGCCACTTAGTAATTTACCCGAAAGAGAAAATAATACATATACTAATTCATGTGTATTCTGAAGGTCAACGGACTTCCCTTACTAGCATACACACATGCCAGACCCTGTCCGAATACCCCGAGAGAGCTCCACGAACTTGAGCGCTCATGATCAAGTATTATTGGATGCAATTCATATTACCATGTTCATACCGTTGTATACTTCCCCGTAGCAAGGGGTTGCCAGTGAATCGTGGATTGGGCATTTCGGAAGGGCTGCCCACGCATTTTCAATTTGACTTTTTTTTTAAAAGTTCAAACTGTACGTTATCCAACTCAAATCTTCACCGTTCGACACTCAAAACAGTCAGTCAATCAAGGAAAAAAAATAGCAGCTTGAGGAAAAAAAAAAAAAACAAAGAAAGAGGAAAGAAAAATATATCATTAGAGACCATGAGAGGTAGGTAAAAAAAATCCATTTCTTAATTGTCGGTTATGGTCGATTGGTAGAGATAGGCGTTCGATAAAAATGTCGATGATGAACGAGTACTTTAAGAAAAAAAGGTTTATATATACTTGATGTGAGAGATAGGAGAGGAAAGAGAGAGAGAAAAAGGAGGTATGTATATATATGTACGCCGAATGAAAAAGGGCAGAGAGGCAGAAGAAAAACAGAGAGAGTAAGAGAGAAAACAAGTAATGTGATAAGGAGAAATCTCGTAACGAGTGAGTGTGAGCGAATGAATGTATGAACGAGGGACAAGGGAAAAAGGATAGACTACGGAGAAAGGATCGAAAGGTTTTTTGGAAACGAGGGACAAAAGAAAGATGACTGCGCAGATGTGAATGAATAGGGAAGGTGATTCGAAGGAGCGGAAGAAGAGCGGAAAACCCTAGAACCATTGGGTCTTGACTGCGTGCGGCATCTAGTGGTACGCCAAGATCCAGTGTCGTACGCGGGGGCGAACAAGCAAGACAGGGTAAGCACTATACACCAACCGGGAAACCGACCAAGCAAACCGTGCGTACGTGACAGATAGACAGGTAGACTAGACAGAGCCCGGACTAGACAGCGGTAATGGTATGGTGATTGATGGATAGGTGTAAAGAGGGTCAATAAGCTATGTATGATACGTAAGGTAGGGTAGGTTTAGAAAGAGAGAATTGACGAGGAACCGGAAAAGAGGCAAGACGTACATATGTGCATGCGAGAGTTGAATGATGATGAGAATATAGACAAGGGATAGGAAGGTTGACAGACGAGAGCAATAGGACAGAGTAAGGACAGGACAGGAGAGAGGGAACAGTAGGGGAAGCTTGAAAGACGACTGAAGTTGAGAAGATAGATAAAAAATGGGGATGAACGGATGATTGGTTATGAGATGGAATAATGCGGAGAAAATGCAATGTCCATGAGCTTTTTCTTTTAAGTAGGAAAAAATGAGAAGAGAAAGGGGAAAAAGTGGTAGAGAATCCTTTGTCCAAAAGTGCGAAAAAAAAGCCATCTTCTAAATCGTTTCATCTATTCGTTCTTCTCGACTCCAATCCTTGGCGTCGTCGTCGTCGTCTTATTCCCAAACCCCGTCTACGTCGGTCCCTCGGCTCGGAACCAACGCTCCATCGCCTCGTCGCATCATTCAACAGCTCCACCATACACAAAAAACAACATACACACCTCTCCATGGACTACCCATCCCTCGTCAAAAGGATGAAAAACTTCTCTAGAATTCTAACATACACCCCTAAACCACTTTCACACATAGCCTCAAACGAGATCCCCGTCTGCAGTCCGAATTCCATAACGCATTTGCCCGCCTATTCGTTTGCTTCATCCAGCGCAAACAAAAAAAAAACTCGCCAACTCATCCAAAAAAGAACTTTATCCTAACCTATCCCACCCTTTCTCATCCATCCACACGTACACACACACGCACACCGGAAGCGAGACGCTCACAACCACGAAAACGAGAGAGGGAGAAGACTACCTCGCCCCATAGTTATCATACGCCATACCAGGCCCAGGCGAAGCTCTTCCCATCATCATCTGAGGACCAGGTGATCTCCTTCCCATATCATAACCTCCAACACCAGGCGCAGGGCTCATCTGTCTAGCGATACTTGGTCCAGGACTAGCCCTTCCCATCATCGCTGATGAAGACATGCCAGGGGGTATCATCTGCGTCATCGGTATCGCTTCACCGTGTCCGTGATCGCTGCCATTAAACGCGTTCGGTACGGGTCCACGATAAGGGTCGTAGTAACCTCCTGGAGATGGATCGTCTCTGTAAGGTTGAGGTTGGTTCGGGTTCAAGTGAGGAAGAGGAGGGACAGCGTAAGGGTCGGGTCCACCACCCAAGTCAGCGGTGGAGTAGTTCGTGTGAGTGCCAGTAGAAGGAGCACGAGAGAGAGAAACTTCTGAACCGGTGTCGAAGCCAGCTCGACCGGTGTTGTGGACGGGGAGAGGATGAGAGTCTGCTCCGACTCCGTTGCCATGAGCGTTGAGCTCGGGCCATTTGATGGCCTCGTCTGTCAATAGTAGAATGATGTTTTAGTTACATTATATAATCGGGGTAGTTTGAAGAACGCCGGTATGGTATGGTATGATACGGAATGGAATGGGAGGTAAAAATGAGACAAAAAAAACAAAACGTACTGTCGTCAAAGTCGGCGAACCGTTTCCTCGTAAACTTCCATACAAAGAAGGCAATGATACCGATAAGAGCGACACCACCAGCTACTGAGAGACCAATGATGGAGCCAGTACCGATACCGCTGTCGTCGTCACCACTGTTGCTGTTGTTGGAAGAGTTGCTGGGAGAATTTGCCGAGTCTTCGGTTGCAGAGCCAGATTGGTTGGGGGTGTTGGTGACGACTACGACAGTCGTTTGACCGTCATTGTTGACAGAGGTGACTGTGGACGGCTGGGCAGGAGCAGTGTTGGTTGGAGGGGACTGGTTCGTGTTTGTGGGAGTCGAGGCACTGGTGTTCGAGGTGTTGCTGGCGGGGTTGGTTGGAGTGGAGGCGGGGCTGGTGGGCGAAGTGGTCGGGGTGGTAGTAGGGGTGGTGGTGGGGGTGGTAGTAGGAGCTGACGTGGGAGAAGAGGTGGGAGAAGAGGTAGGGGTTGTGGTTGGTGTCGAAGCGGGCTTAGAGGTTTCATCGCCGCCAATAGGGATTATTGGGTTTTGACGGGGTCTGTTGTGGGCGGCGGCCTCTGCAGCTTGGACGGCGCACAGAGCAAGGAGACATGGATATAGCAACGACCTGGTCGCTTTCATTGGGGAGAAGAGAAAAGTGCAAACGTTTTGGGAAAAAAAAAGTCGAGAGAGACGAACAAAAGGCGATGGCAACTCAAATTGATGTGACACCCGTCACACTTTCCCATGCGGCTGTGTCACCCTTTTTCTTTCCCGCTCTGATATGTACCGTCTACATATTCACTCTTACTGCCTTTCGTGCATCTATCATCTCTCAATCTAGTGGCTGAACATTCCTCTAATTCTATACACGGCAAGACCGACTCATCCATGAGATGATCAACATCCCGTCACGCACTATCTGTGACATTGTCTGCCGGATCGAAACAGCTCTGTGGGGGTTTCATATGGTTTGCGCACAGCCTCGCGCTAATCGCTCTACTCTATGGCTGCCAATGGACATCCTTAGCCGCTCCATGTCTGTTTTGTTCAATTCCGACGGCACCCAACATACGTATCAATTCACTACGTCAACACACCCTTTCACACCTCGCAGTCTTTCGCAGCCTCGCAGCTTCTCCCATAATTTCTCGCAGCTCATCCAATGTTCGAAACCCCTTCGTTGTCGATAATTCCCTTGACGACTAGAAACATATGATCTAGACCCTACCTCTCCTCAATCACGATCATACGACCAGCTACTTTTGAAGTGAAGAAACCTTCCGATACCAAAAATCATGCACTGTGACGCTCCACGATCGCTAAATTAGAATAGCCTCCGGCTAAAACATACAAAAATCGATCCTCCATACCCCCCGGGGGGTTTCTTCCGATCCTACGGAACTTCGTCAAAGTTCGAAGAGAGAGCTTTGGGCCTCCCAACCAAGACTCCTCGAACCGTTCCAATCTTCAACTGACATCCATGTTAACCATGTTAACCAAGGGAAGAGAGGTAAGATAACCCTGAAAAAAACCGAAACATTGACAATGGACAACTTGAACGACCGTCCCTTTCCGTCGGAAGGAACTGGACTCTTGCGGTAGCCCGAGTATCTACCCTCGATTCTCCCGCGCAGCACAACAAACGGCAACTTCAGATGCGTGTGACGGTCCTGTAGTGTAGCGGTTATCACATGGGATTCTGACGTCACTTGTCCTTCCCATGACCCAGGTTCGATTCCTGGCAGGACCTTAAACTTCCTTGAGCTGATGTCTTCAAATTTTTTATTTTATGTGATAATAACCCAGTAGGGCTGACCAACAGCAGACTCACAGATACAGCAGTCAGATAAAAAAAAAACTCTGGGTTTGTATAACAAATGCAAAAATACTCAGTCAACTAACACATGTGCTGACTCCAAGTGACCCACATTCGCAAGGTGAGAAACAAAATCCTTCCATGCAAATAATAGGCAACTTAAGCCAATCACTTCCATGGCCACAAGCAGGCCATAACAATGTGAACAGCATAAGTAAATCATCTCTGACCACAGTCAATGTATAATGATTGAAAGAAGTCATGTATCTTGCATGTATCTACTATGTTAAGTGTTTGAACAGTTTATAAGAGAGCAGAAGCATCTCATCACCTGCAGGCAATGTATGACAGAGATGACTCGGAGGATAACAGACTATTAACAGTTTTCAAGTTGAAAGAATTGCCAAGTGCAAGAGGCTACCCGTCATATGTCAAAATATGACGGTCGAGTCCGTAAGCTGTTCAGGTTTTTGTTGTTGAATATTCCGAGGGCGACTAAAGACTCGATATAGAGACGCGACGACGAAGGGAAGAGCAACAAGTTCTCGATAGTCCTATGAAACTACAGGGAGGCAATCGGATGAAGGGAAAATACAAAGTATATAACTACGAGCATAAGTGAGCTACGAAAATCACATGCAAATGAATTGATAACCGGAATAAGAGTAAGTTACCAAATGAGAATCACGTGCAGATTGTTATATCAACACACCCCCTCAATCTGCATAAAGTCAACAAATAAAGTACAGATTGAAGAAAAGATTGAAAGAAAAGTAAGTTTACACCCCTTAATCTAAAATGCGACTCCTTGACCACTATAGTCTTCCTCCTGTGCTACAAAAGTGGCGACAGCAGCAGTACGACCATTACCAGAAGGTTCATTGAACAGCTCGCTAGGACATTGCGAGCGGAAATGTCCAAGTCCACCACAAAGGTTGCAAACTAGATGTGGACGTACAAAGTGAGCCAAAGGGTCCGAAGCTGGAACATGAGGTGCATTCCCTCCACCAGCCCTTGTACCACGTCTAGCAGCAGCCAAAGCTTCTTCCCCAGGATCAAAGAAAGTAGTATCCCCATCAGGATTCTGATGTGAGTACTCTCGAAGGACCTGTCGTTCGACATAGACGAGGTCATCGCCCTGGATATCGCGCTTCATCTGGACTTTGAAAGATTTCCAGTCAGTCTCGTTATTGGTTTTGGGATTGACGTCGGGGAGAGCCGAAAGGAGAACGGAAATGGAAAGGGTATCAGAAGGTTTGTCGTTGAGAGCAATGAGCTCACTGCGGAGTTCCCGAAAGCGTCCGATGAATTCGATACCTGTCTCGTTGCTACGAAGCTTCAACGAGTTGAAACGAGTCCAAGTGTCTGAGACGTCTTCGAAGCCATGGCTATTGACTTCGAGTAGGCGCTTGTACATTTTGTACGGGTCATCAGGGAATTCACGGATGTGAGGGATGAGAGATGGAGAGATGGTCTGGACGATGAGGTCGGCAGCAACAGACATCTTGGTGCGAAGAGTGTTCGCCTCAGAGGACGTGTCACTGTCATTAGGAAGTAGCTGCGTACCACGTATGATGTCCCAAACTCCTTTCTTCCTCGCTTTTATCCGTAGTGAGAACTTCCAGTTCTCTAGCTCCTTTGGCCCTTTCAGGACCACAAGATTCTCATACTCCTTCGTAGTCATCGTGCGTAGTGTAGGTGGGGTAGTGCAAAAGGTGTAGAAAAGAAGCGAGCAGCAAGCTCAGGATAAGCCAATCGGTACAGTTGTTGGCGGGGTTACGATAGGTGTTGATTCACCGTGCCTCAGCAATGCGGTTGTGGGCCCTGGAACTAACAGTACAGTCGTTATCCAACCAGTCCTGTCGAGTACGGTCACGAGTAGGTACTGGGTGTTGACGAATGAGCTTCGACGGGCTTGAATCCGATTGTGTTGAAAATATTCCGCAGGGCGACTAAAGACTCGATATAGAGACAGCGACGACGAAGGAAGAGCAACAAGTTCTGGATTGTCCTATGAATACTACAGGGAGGCAATCGGATGAAGGGAAAATACAAAGTATATACCTACGAGTATGACAGTGAGGATAGCGAAAATCACATGGAAATGAATTGATAACCGGAATAAGAGTAAGTTACCCGGAAATGAGAATCACGTGCAGATTGTTATATCAACATTTGTATGTCACAGCCATGGCAATTACACGGAAATGACGGTCTAATTTCATGGTTTTGCTATCAGCACTGATTCAGCAGAGCATACAACTTCTCAAAGGCTCAACCGGACAGGAAGTTTTGTTTGCGCAATAATGTGGAATACAAGGACAAGAAAACAGGTTAGCAGATCATTATTACAAAACACGTGGCTACTTATTTGCATTGTATTTGTAAAAGCCTGAAAAGAGACGTTTTACAGGAGAACCACCGTTCAACCACCTACAAGACCCTTCAAAAGTTTCTCTCTCTCTCTTTTTCTTCCCATAATTAATCTGAATTGATCCCTCCCAAGTTTTGTCCACATATAATATACCTGCCTGTCTATAGTTAGATGGCTCATATGTATCTATCAGCCTCACAACATTTAATCCCACATTCCAATATCACATTGACAAGACGATGACCATTTTGTCTGTCTCCGTATCATATTAGTATACAAAACTTAACGGGAGTTATGTTGGGGTTGTTATAGAAAGTTGAGTGGCGCCACTCACTTGACTTCATTATAAGCGCGGAATCAAAGTTCCGACATTCTAGTGTTCAAGTTCTTATTTCATAGGTTCTTATACGTGGTCATATGTCACTGGACTTGCCATGCACCTGTGAATCAGTACACAGTTTTATTCCACAGAAACTCTATACTACCACTATCAGGCTATAGACAGCCTATAGCAAAAGATTCTCTTATCGTAGGTACTACGTACGCAGTGATTATATAGAGTATTCTGAACGATACAAATACCGCAGACACCCATACTTCAACCTTCCTTAGATTCTTGCAGGTCACTCTGCAAAACTTGGTAAGTAACTCTTACTTTTGGTTCCTACACTTCTTGCCCTTTTAGACAAAACAAGATTAAGACGAGTGCTCCATTGATTATCAGTGATACTAGGTGTTAGTTCACATATAATCAAGCATTGAACAATTTAAACACCAAAGTGTACATCCACATTCAATGGCGCCAAAGGACAATCCGCCGGTAAACCAGCGGAATTACAGTGGCACTATCAGTAAATACACAGAAACGGATAATCGCGTTTACGATGATCGCGCCATTGAAAATTATGAGGGCGGGATTTACAGTGAGGTGTGTCTTTCTGAGGGTTTTTCATTCTGTCAGGTCTGATTGCTACAAATAAGCGTGGTGGCTCGGAAAGCGGAAATTCGCGGACTGCTGGTGAACAATCCAAGCCCGCAGTGAGGCCGAATAAAGTGTCCCAAGCGAAGAACACAGAAAAAACAGTCAGAACAACCGAAGGATCACAACGAAACTATAGTGGCATGACTGTCACCAACTACACAGAAACGGATAATCGTGAATACCGTGATCGCGCCATTGAAAATTATGGCGGGGTTTACAATGAGGTGTGTGTGTCTTTTTGAAGGTGTTTCTCCTACTTTCAGCTGCAGTCTTAACTGTCACAAACAAGCAGGCTAGCTCGGAAAGCAGTCTGAGGAAAACGCGTACTGCTGATGAACGGTCCAAGTCAGCAGTAAAGTCAAGTGGAGCGGCGTCCCAAGCGAAGAACGCAGGAAAACCACTAGGCGCGGGAACGAAGAATCAAAATGCTGTACCCCGATGAAAGAAAGCTCAGTTGGTCTGAGGTGTAAAATTTCTGAGGTCCAGTTCACTCAGTTCATTGCCCAATGTAATGTGTGACAGATTAAAAATTCAATTCATTTTAAGCAGTAGTTAACACCACGGGCAAGAACGGCTTTCCATGGCCAGGAAATTTCCAGGAAGTCATAAGGAAATTTTAACTTTCCGAGATGATTTCCCGAGTCAGGAAATTTCCAGGAAAGTTAAAATTTCCCGAAAATTTCCTGAACGATTTCCTGACTGAGGAAAGTTTGAATTTCCTCAGTCGGAAAATCATTTAGAAAACGTGTTGATTTCCAAGCCACGTTGTCATAGTCTATGACATGGACCGTTGCACATAGAAGACATAAACGTGGCTTGGAAACTGACACGCTGGTACAATTTCCCGGCCCAGGAAAGTTTAAATTTCCCGACCGAGGAAATTCAAACTTTCCTCAGTCAGGAAATTGTTGAGGAAAATTTCGGGAAATTTTAACTTTCCTGACTCGGGAAATCATCTCGGAAAGTTAAAGTTTCCTTAGGATTTCCTGGAAATTTCCTGACTGAGGAAAGTTGCTCTTGCCCGTAGTGTAAGTGGTGCTCCATCATGGCCGTTCTAATGTTTTCAAAGAATATTTTCATCTGTATACATGTGTAATTCACCAAATTCCACTTTTATGGCCCAATACTTATGCCTCCCCTGCCAGTGCAAACTATCCAAAATTACTATTTCCATTGATTTGACATCTGAAAAAGTAGTTCATCACACAGTTCAGTCCTTCGATGTGATGTGTGACATTCCTCCAAAACTGAACAGTTCAGTACTTATCCGGTGTGATGTTTGATGGAACTTATCGGGCTACAGTACACTGCCGTAACAAATGCTAGTGTTGGGATGTATAGAATGTGCGCATCTGGGAGTCGACACTGCCTCCCACACACCTATAGTAACTAATGATCTCCTTCCAATACAAAAGGTTTCTGTCGATGCACGATCGCCTATACTTTCACTCGCCGCTGACGTGGATAGACGTAGTGACTCAGTGGTTCTTCACTTGGAACAACTTTATCCGGTGAGATTCTGATTGGTTGCAACAGAAGCGCACGGTGCTTTTCCGTCAGAAATTGTCACAAAGACTC